TTGCCTTGGGGGTCCATTGCAATCTGTCAGTTTGGGAAGTTCCTTTTTATCCCTTCAATCTCTGCGGATCCTGAGCTTTGTGGAGCCTTTCTAGATGGTTCCAAACTGACCTAAAAGCTTCATATTTAAAACTATGCAGAAATTTGCATAGACAACATAAGCAAATACTATACTTTAAAGTAAGGGGTCTTTTCCCATACATTCCTACCTACTAGACTGTAGGTCCCCTGTGAACAGAAACTATACACACTTATCTCTATTTCTAGTAAGTGAGAGAAAACAAAGCTTAATAAATATTTGTTATACAAATGTGTGAATGTTCTTGTTTTGATTGACAGATTCAATGTAAGATACACTGATGTCCCCAAATGTCACTGAAATATTTATTATGATGATTCTTCTTCTCTACTCTGAAAATTATGTGTAAGTTTATGAAGATAAACAATATCTCATGCTTAATGAAACATTACAACTTAAAAAAATTGCAGATTAAAAAATTAGACAAAATACATTCAGAACGTAGTTGGTATTCTAAACTCTTATGTCATAGAAATCAGTAAGTAGCTGATTAGACCATTTCCACAGATTGTTTGTGTGAAAACATAAAACTGTATCTTCCTTAGTTCCCATTTTTATATTTAACTTGAAGGTTTTCTTATTGAGTAATGAGATATAAACCAACATATATGTAAACCACACAGGAATTGGTGACAAGAATATTGAGAATTAAGTGCAAAAATAAATTCTACCTCAAGAGTACCTATGCAACTTACTTTAAACAGTATTTAAAGTATTTAAAAGTATCAAGGTATTCAAGTATTTAAACCATTCACTGTGTATGAAAAAGGGTGTGGCTTGTGAACGTGACTATGGGGCTTGTGACACAGGTTGATTGTGCTGTCTATTACCAGAGTGCGGTGGCCAAAGCCACTGGTCACCAACTAGTGGCTCTTGATGGAATCTGGCTTCTATGATGTCCCACAATAGGGCAGGACTGTTAATTGGATATCATCCTGAAAGGTAAGCCAGCACCTTGCCTTGGAAACAGCACATACCAAGTATGCCCCAAGTGCATTTGTCCCTCTTGTTACTATGGGGCCTGAATTTACACCACCTGTGTGCTTTTAATTTTTTTACTTTTGTGGGAGTATAAATTGAGCTAACTTTCTGGGAGCTGACTTGGCAAAAGCAATCAAAATTAAAAGTGTATGTATATTTTGAGCCAGGAATTCCACTTCTACATTTATCTACTCATCCAGGTATACTCAAAAGAAATAACTATATGCCCATCAATAAGGGTAAGAAACTCTAAGTTAAAGAACAATCATTTTATACAATAATAAATAATGGGCAGCTAATAAATAAAACAATGATCTGGTAAACTTTCATGAAATACAGCCAGTGAGTGTTAACTAAAGGCGGTGTGAGAGCATTGAGAAGGAGTACATATTGCCATGCAAATACACCAACTAGAAGATACACACAGTTGTGAAGAACGTTCACCTCTTAAAAAGACTAGATGTCTAGCTGTCATTTTGTAACATGAGTGCAATTATTATTTTATCTGTTTAAAAAGTTTTATTTGATTTTTCTGCGTGAATGTTTGTGAATTCAGATTAATCAAGATCAGTATTGAAAATCCTGCGCTTCGCGTCCCTCATCCCGTTTCCTGTTATGTGAGGCAGTGGGCGGACAGAAACACTGAGTATTAAATCTATTTAAGAAGTGATACTGGGGGAAACATGTCTGTAGCTGCACAAAGTGGAAGTTAGGAGTAGAATAGTTTGTGCAGGGAGAATGTCAGGCACAAGATCCACAAAACTTGAACTTGTTATAAAGTAGCTGGTAAAACTCAGAGTCCACAGACTCGGCAGGTGTATATGTCAGCACATGTTCTTTCCCCAAGGCCAAGTGCTGGCTTACCTTTCAGGATGCTTGGTTTTGAAATATTGAAAATTGAGAACTTTATGTCTTTACCTGCAGCTTACCCATGCATTTAAGAAAATGTCTGAAAGTATTATCCAGCATCTTTTCCTGTATTTACAGTGAGAATGTTGTTTAGCTTTCCTGATTGGCCATCTGGTCATATCTGGAAGCCTTGCTTTTTCATTTTGTTTCGGGTGTCACTTTCTGTACACAAGTTGTACGTTTTTATGCAGTCAAATTTGTCATATTTTAATTTGACAGTGAAGGTTACAACTGGTGGCCTTTTTATTGGCCAGTGTGATATTTTATAAGATTAGAATTAGACAGGAGTTAGGGGCCCTTGTCTTTATCATCTTTGGATTTATGTCATTGTTGCATTTACCTAAAATTACAGAATAATGTGCATGGCTCAACCTCAGAAAACAACTAAACACCCGTGTGTGTGTGCACGAGCACCTAACTTTCTAGTTGGAGTGAGACTTAAGGAACTGTAAATACAATGTACAGGCTTTTCCGACAGGCAGAGAGAAACACTTTGCCTTTGCTTACATCCCAGTGGGAGGGATTTACAAAGAACTGCAAACCCTAGCTACTTGCTGGAAAAGAGGAAAATGAGAAAATTACTGGAAGTACCAAGACAATGTACTATGTCAACAACTTAGCTTGGCCACAGAAAGAAAGCAGATTTAAGCAAGTGAAATTTGAACCACAGTGAAAACGGTAATGGCAAGAGAGCAACAGAGAAAACTAAGACTTATCTAATTGTCAATCAAATTTTGAGTAAAACCATGGCCTCAAGTTAAAAGATGAAGGCAAACAAGCCTTTGACGCCAAGAAAACAGACCTTGAGAATTTAATACCTGCGATTCAGCAGCATTCCTTCTCTATACACCAAGGTGCCCAGCCTGTGAGGCTGGCCTGCGGGTCTGGCAGGGCAGCAGGCAGGGGACACGGCACCAAGGAGGAGCTGGGGGAGGCCGCGCTCTGCGTGGTGGACCCTGCCTGCAATTGTTCCTGTCCCAGCAGAGATGCCCCGGCTCCTGGGGGGAGCCACTAAGCAACTGCGGTAAACAGACAGCTCCCCTTGGTTCAAGTTAATTTTCAAGAAGAGTGATCATGTTTATTCTCATATTTTCCCCACATTGTAAAATGTCAACTGGAATATTTTACATTTCACCACCCTGATTAAAAAATCTAAGTAAACAAATAAATCCAATTCATAAATGGATGATTGCAGAGAGGGAAATGTCTCCCGGAGTTCTGCTGTGAGGCGAACCAGAAAACGAAGAGGCAGGCAGATGGAGGTGGGAACGGGAGAAATAGAGGTTGTGTGTGTGTGTGTGTGTGTGTGTGTGTGTCTTTTTGCTTCACTAAGAGAATTAAAAGCACATGTGTAAGCAAGCACGACACCATAAAAGGAGAAAACGGATGATGCTGGAAAGGCCAGAGTGACCGGTGCGAAGCCTCTGCAGGTGGACAGGAAACAGTAGCTGAGACATGCGTGGCGGAGCGCAGGAGACCTGAGCCGGGACCGCGGTCGGGGGACCTCGGCTGGGATCAGGGCCAGTCCATCTTCAGGAGCAAGAGCGCACGGGGGTATATGCTGGGTGTGACGGATGGGTGACGTGGGCTTGAGGAAACCAGTTCCATGCGAAATGGGAAGCCAGAGCGTCAGATGCAAGAAAGAAGAGTGGGAGACCCCCAGCAGCTCTGCAGGTGCCATTACCCCCATTCCTGGGGGGGTCCTTGACCCCTAAATCCCCTCTTTCCCCTTTGTCCTTCACCCTTCCTCCCCTTGACTCCTCTTTTATGTAATGACACCATGAAGTTCGTCCTGCCTTAAACAACAGCAAAAACAATTCTCCAGATTGTAAGCACTCCAGCTACTGCTGAACTCTAAGCTAACAATTTGAATATTAGGGGAAATGATGATTATCTAGGAAAAATGAAACATCTAACGTTGTCCTCAGAAAATATTTAAAATCTGAAAAAGAAATTTCTGAAGAAAAATTTTAAGAAAATAGGCAAACAGCTTCCCCTTAGAGATAACTTAATAAATTATAGACTATTAATATATCAAAGGTTAATTAAGCAACATCTCGATTAAAGTCTAATTGATAAAATTCTACATCATTCCTGATAAAATGACTGCTGTAAGGTAAATCAGTTTATGATGCCTTTCTCTATAAATTAATCCAGCAAAGCTCTTGCTTTTAGATATTCTACAAACTCCTTCTGTTAGCATATACACACCCAACATTAATGACCAGCCCTTGCCTGCCTCTCTGTTCCTGTGTACATTTTATTATGCTTCAAGCATGCTGAGTAATTTGTATTTTTCTGACCATAACATTTTCTCTCCATTACACTGTCAGTGACTTCTTCTCTCTAGAAAGTCTTCACTTTCTGGTCTCCTTGCTAAATGCTAACTCATTCATGACTCCGGCCTGACGCCAACAGGCTTACAGACTTAAATCCATCCTCATAATGCTTTGTGTACACCTCTGCTGGAAATTTTATGCTATCTTTAGGGGTAATCATCACCATTCACTAGATTGAGCTCCTTAAAACCAATGATTTCGTTTTCATTACCCTCGTATGCCCAGAGCAGAGCGCAATCCATGGAGCTTGAAAGATACGTACGTGTGGGGACAGAGTAAATCAGTCTTGGCCCTTGATGTCCCCACTCCTGCAGCGAGCGTTTTTCTAGGTATGCAGTGCTTCATCTGACACTGAGCAGCAAAACATCCATATACGTCGGTCTTGGGTAATTTATTTGTCTCTTAGAGACAGTACATTAATATCATAATAATTTTTAGAAACCCTGATTAAAATTCCATTGTAGCGTGCCCCTGGAATGACATTCTATGGTTGATAGAATCGCACGCATAGGCCAAGCCGCTAGCTCGGGCCACCAGGCTCCCCTTGCCCACCAGAAGGTCCGCGTGCGGGGTGCAAAGGGGAAGCGAGGAGGAGCGGGCGGCTTGGGCAGAAGTGAGGACTCATTTGTTTCTGTTGGTTATTTTTATTTCTTTATATTTGATGGAGGCATTGCTTTTATTTTCTCTCTGTAGACATCAGTAAGTTCCAGGTTGAAGAGGGACCTTCCCCGACGGCGTGACCATCTCCCGATGAAGTGCTCTGGAAAAGTTCATTCCTCCCCCGTGGTGAGTGAAGATTTATGCCGCATTTCTTTTCATCAACAACATATTAAACCCTATTGCACATCCTGTGCCCACGAGTCCATCCTCAGGTAAACAGAATAAGCCCAACATTTTGTAGTAACTATTCTATTCTACTTAAGCATGGCCCAGTTCTTCCCTGTGCCCTTGAATGCCTTTGATGATTCTGGCCAGTGGATGGTGCGCTCATCCGCAGCCATTGCTTCAGGCCTGGCTGGGCACAGAGCCGAGAGCGGGCATCTGGTGGGACCCGGGGCCCGCAGGAACCCCTCCCGCCGCCCGGCAACCGCACCCCCGGAATCCCTGCAGAGTGCATCTGATCCGCTTCTCAACATTGCCCAACCAGGCTGATCTCTGAATCTTTTTGCCCCCAAGGAACATGAACTTGACATTTCCTGCGGCTCCTTTTAGGAAGTGCTGCCCCCGAGCCACCAACACTCCCCGACTTTCTGAGGATAAACGCTTTGTCCTGTTTTGAGAAACTGACTCATGTTTAGCCTTAATAAGTGCATAGTAGGAAATGACCACTGTGTCTCTGTTGAATTTTTTTTTTGTTTTAATTCAGAGAAATCTGTAAGCAGGACAAAAGTAAAACCATATTAAAATGAAGAGTATTCAAATATTGATTAACAACAGCATTTGGTATTAATGCACAAATAAGTAATCAATTCTTGATGAAAGAGGGAAATTGTATATTGTCAGATTTTTACTAAGAGGCTGTACTTGTGCATTTTAAGAATGTAGCTAAAATTAGTTTCCTCTCCATGTGGAATTTGAATACATTATAAAAATAAAAGAGTAATTGTCTTTTCACACAATAAATTGAATTTACATTTCTTATCTTTTCCTTTTAAATTTTTCCATCAGAGGTCAAAATGGATGCTAAATTCTGAATTCAGGTTTACAAAAAAACTAAATAGCTATAGCCAGTAGAGATTAGATAAACTCCCCATTTTTTCCTGCAGCTTATAAAAGAGTGCCAACTAAAATATATTTCACATAAGACAGCAAATACAGCTAACCGAGAAAAAGCTTTATCAGTCTCTGTATAAAAAGGAACTGATTATTTTGCACTAGCTAGACTTTGATGTGTGAATGTTTTATATACACTTTAAAATCTTTGTTTAAATTCAAGTGAACAGGAAACCAGAAATATCTTATCTAGTCGTAGGAACATGCTAATGTTTAAAGTGTTTCTTTTTTATCTTTTTTCAAAATGATTTTCTAATTAGTATTTCAAATGCCTGGCTTGTTTAGGGTCTCAAATATGGGAATGTAACAATTATAGTACAATGCATTTTAAACAATTTATAATGAAGATATTTATTGATAACAGTCACAACAGGCTTATTGACTCTTGAATCTTACCTTCTTGGTCTCTGAGGACCACCGAGGTACTCACGCTGGGCTAGGTCTTGGCCACCTGTGCCCACCAACCTGCTGGACTTGCCAGTCACTGATCAGGTGTTACCCGGTATTTGCCACACCTTTTCATAAATGGATTCAAAGAATAGTCTATAAGCACACAGAAATCTTTCTACAGAACGTTTTAAAGAAGAGATCTTTAAATCTAAGTGATGATTCAACAGAAGGTTATTGATTTGAGAAATTCTGAAAAATAAGTGAGTGGCATCATTTGCTTGAAAAGTCTTTTCAGTGCATAAAAATTGCTTCCAGTATATATGCACAATAAGAAAGTGAGATTTATACCAGAATTATCTGCCCAAATTATGTGACATTATAATGCTCACATAATGCTCACCATGGTGGTAAATCATGCAAAACAGCATAATAAAAAGAGGGTTCCGTGGAGATCCATATGTTGGTTTGAACTGTATTGATTTATTATTGCTAAGACTGAGGAAAGTCGTTGGCGAGCTGGGGCAGAGGCCCCACCCGAGTGGCCTTGCTTCCCTGGCAGTGGGTCCTGCACAAGCAGTGAGCGAAGCCTGGGGACCCCTGTCACTTCCAGGCTCAGGGCCCTCTTCCAAGACAATATAAGATTTCTGAGGGAAGATTCTGTCTGTCTTGTTCACCCGGCATCCTCTGTGCCTGCACAAGTGTTGGGAACATATTTGGAGCTCAAAATAATTAACAATATCAATTTTGGACAAGTTCAATTTTTTAAAAAGATTAAAATTATTTTTATGTTCTGTTATTTAAATGCATAAGATCGTTTGACAGAGAACTGCTGTGCACATTTCTGATGCTAGAACTGTGGACCAAAACTCTCCTTTCTTTCCGTGAGCTCTTTTTCATTGTCCGCCCAATGTCTCTCTGTGTGGTTTAAAGATCGCTGGGGCCCCGGTGAAAAACCCATTGCCTGCTGGCCCCCATTTTTCTTGAGTTTGGTATGTTACTGAAGATTATGTTGTTTTGAGATATTTTCAACCTATTCTTTTTAAAAGAACCTTTTTTTAAAGCCAGTTTTATTTGTGTCCATGGAAAATCATAGTAAATAAAAACATTTTTGGCCATTGTATCTTGCACCTTTTAGAACTATTAAATAAAATAATTTTCTATTCACTTAAAAAAATACATGGGGAGTCCTTTTAAAGGTAATTCTGGTTGCAGAAATGTATTATACCTGTACCTAGTTTCCTGGGATTTAATTCTGGTTGCATTCAAATGGCCATCTTGTTTTTGGATATATGTGTGTATTAATCCCAATAATGCTAACTTTTAATATTTCCTAATTCAGGGTTAGTATAATCAAATAAATACATGTGGTTGGTAGATGCAAATTTGTATGAAGGACTTAGCTGCAAGGGATGCTACAAAATATGGTTTTAGCCTTCTAACCTTTCTGAATAGAAGCTTGGAATGGTGCTCCAGAGAGCCAGTCCTGGCTTCAGACACGTTTGCCAAGCGTTGATTTGGAAGAGGACCGCCTGCACCTCCAGCCATCACCTCTGCGCCCAAGGCAAGAGGAACCCGTAAGGCCCAGCCAAGCCCTGTCTGTCTGTTAGTCATAGAAATGAAGTATTTCCTAATATCACTCACCTCTTCCAGAAGCATGCTGTTCATGCCTCTTCATTCAGGAAGGCCACGTCTAGCCACACGGACGGCAGAGGAAGCATTCCGGGGTGTCTGCCACCTGAGCTGAAGTGTCATGCAGGGTAAAAATAATGAAGGACACTTGCAGATATTCATGCTCTGAGGGACTGTGCACTCTTGAAAGAAAAGAGCTTGATAACGAAATCAAGTAGGGTAACAAAATTCATCCACGAGATGAAAGAAGTTGTGGGAGTTAAAGGATTAATGGTGAGCTCTGATCCATGTCAGTCCTGAATTAAAGGGACGGAGCAGGAAATAAATGGTATAAATAATATAACACCACGTCAACCCCACCTGGAATTGGAAAGGGGAGAGAAGAAATTTGTGTTCCAATATCCTTTCATTGTGAGGAATCGAAAGAAATTACCTAAATCTGGTAACTTAGTAGAAGTTCAGGAGCACAAAGAATTTCTTTAGAAAAACAAGTTTTATGGACATCATCAATTACGTTGGTGACAGAGGAAAGGTGAAGGGAACAGAGGGGGAAGGCTAATTTCTGATGCCTGGATTCCCTCTTTGGGAAATTAGAGGACAGCGGGGCAGACGTCGCAGAGTTTTTCACCGCCGCTCACCGGCATCCCCTGCCCGATGTTTTTGGAAAGTATCATTACAATTTTCAAAAGAATTTCAAAACAAAAATACCCCGGACTCTAATCCTTCTGAACGCGCAGAAGGAAGATACATTCACACACTAAATTAAAAGCAGAGACCATGGAGCAGAAGAGAAAAAACTAGAATCATTCTAAAGGAAATGGAAAAGAAAATGTAAGAACGGTGGCAAAACAGACATCAAACTTTCCTGTCAGATCAATAAATGTAAAAGAGATAAGAATAATTAAAAGAAAATCTTTTTCAATAAAAAAGTAGAACCCCCGTCTGTGCACACGAAGCACAGCATTCTAGAATCTGCTGACAAAGGCACGTTGCTGATAAAGGAGAGGAAAGAACCAGTGAATATACACAGAAAGGACTCAGGGATCATGGTTCAGTTTAAATTCAAGGCAAAAACATTGAAAGACAAGAAAAGCTACTTGTGATAGTTACCGTTGAATACAGGACAAAGGTCTAATGCCGCCTTGAATCCCATGCCACCAGCAACCTGCGTGTCGCCCTTTGACTTCTAAGCAATGTCTCTTCTGAGGGCTGTGCCGCGGACTCTGACACATGGGTGGTTTTATTTTGATGGCTGCAGAGGGCGAGGGAGACGGAAGACAGGAGAGAGAGCAGGGCCACCCCAGGCCGGGATTCTAGTCCCCTGAATCGAGGCGACCGCAGAGGGTCTACACGTGTTCTGGGAGAGAAAACAAGAAATAAACCTGCACACCAAAGGGGGCAGGAAGGAGAGTCCCCCTGCCTGACACCAATGCTCAGTGACCGCATGATTTGTCTTCCAAACCGACACCTTTGAGGGGAAGGGACAACATTTATGATGACACTAGAACAACAGCCGGGGTATGTAGTCTCTCTGGGTGGGAGGGAAAGGAAGTCCTCTGGGGATTTGTAACCACAACCCCGTTCTTCAGCCAGGTGAGTTCACACGACCTGCAGGTCTGTACCAAACCCGGGCAAGTGGCTGCAGGAAAGCAGTCTCAGGACGGCGGTGCCCCCGGGGCCTGGCATGACAAACAGCATCCTCTTCGGGGAGTGCAGCCATAGGACAGGTCCCAGAAGATTTTCACAGTTAAAATGGAATATAAGCTTGGGGGCAAATAGAAAACACACAGAAAATAAAATACAAGGAGACTTATCCAAAAGACTAAACTAGTTCCACAAAAAACAAACAACAGAGGTAAGTATAAAAGCTTTAATTAATAACCAATCCAGAAATCCCATAACTACAAATTTAAAAATCAGTCATTTGTACAGAGCCATGAACAATTTGCTTAATCAGAAGAAAAGAGACAAAACAAAATAACAATAAGGAGATTCAAAAGAAATAGGGACAGTTAGATGTGATCACACTGCCTCGGGACACAGTCACGTTGGAACTCAGTTTGACGGTTTCTTACAAAACTAATCAGACTCTTAACATACCATCCAGCAATCACGCTCTTTGGTATTTACCCAAAGCAGCTGAAAAGTTGTGTCCACAAAAAAAAAACAAGCCCCATACAAAAGGTTATAAAGGCTTTATTCATAATTACCCAAACTTGGAAGCAACCAAGATGTGCTTCAGCAGGTAGGTGATGGGCAAGTGAACTGTGAAACTGTGATCTATCAGATGGCGGCATAGTATTCAGCACTAAAAAGAAATTAGCTATCTCGTGTAAATACACGGTGGAACCTTAAAAGCATGTCACTAAGTGAATGAAGCCAGTCTGAAAAGATGACACGTGGGATGGTTCCAACTGTATGACCATCTGGGGACGGCAGGACTGTGGGGATGGTGAAAGGTCAGTGGTCGCCAGAGGCTGCATGGGAGGGGAGGATGAACAAGGGGAGCACAGGATTTGTGGGGCAGTGGAACTATGTTG